GGAAATGGCCGGAAATTTGTAGAAATTTAAAATGGCATTAAATGTTATATGCATTCTAATATGTTGTTGCTATATTCGTAATAAATTTTGTTGAGTGTTGGTTGGTTGATTTTGATATAGAGGGCCTCAAGAATTTAAAGTCTTTGTTTGTTATTTTCGTGGTGTAAAATATTCCATAGGTAGACAGTATAGATTTAGCTTGCAGTCTTTGCGGCAAAGTCCGTAGGTCAAGAGTCACTGCCGATCTCACGTTCGTTGGAAGCTTCAGTTATATGTCAACTAGTCAGCGATGGCCATGCGCGTCGAGTAAATAGACAGCCATAAAGTGTTAAGCTAGGAATATTGTTTGTATGCTTGGGTCAGTGCTTGTGGATAGCTAAATTTAAAATTAAGACAGATGAAGACCGTCCTTTTCCCCATCCCCTTTTCTAGGCCATGTGCCATATTTTCTGTAATTTCACAGAAATAAATTTCATAATGTATTAAGCAGCATATTTTGGTAATAATCCTTTGTTTAAAGGCGTTCTCTTTGCAAGAACAGACAGAGAATATCTGCTAAGCCTTCTGGCGGGCTTCTTCTTCGCCACCAAGAGAAACTTACTAAAAGGTTAGTCCTGGGCGTAGCGGTAAACTACATCCGATAGCAAGGCCTCTGATCGGGAAATTAGAGATTTCGGGGTGGGGGGACGTGGAACCACCTCCTAATTGCTGTTGTTCCCAGGTCCACCCTGACCCTGTAGCTCCCGTTCGCGTCCCAGCTATGGGCAAATAGCGAATCCAAGAAACAAAAAATCAAAGCGCCAGGAAAGTATTAAAAAAAATAAAATTTTATAGTAAAATTACCAGCAGTACATTTTTAGAATAGAAATTACCAACAGTAAATTTTTATCATCTACAAATTATATCTACAAACTATTTTTTTTTTTTGTATCTAAAAAACTGAAAGTATAAAATTATGTACAAAATATTTCGACATTAAATAACCCATAGAAGTTGATGCGCCTGCTAAACAAAATCAACCAGACCAAAGCTATTTAATAGAAAAAATATATACCTGCTGTAACAGCAAAATTGTCCAAATCGTGTAACAGCAAAATTGTCCAAATCGTGTAACAGCAAAATTGTCCAATTGTTAGATTAAGCTTTAAACCGTTGTAACTTAGAAATGATAAAAAGATATCTTACTGAGATTCTCCGAGTTTTTTTATAATACTACTGGACTCTGTTTTGAGCAACAAGAATGTACAATTACTATCCAAGCTTAACATAAGAATCGTGATGAAATCTATCATAAACGAAAATGACATCGTCATCATTAATTAAGCATAGCTAAGGATCGGAAGTTCATCAAAGATTGGTATAAAGTTCAATATATATATATATATATATATATATTATTCCAGGATCATTTTCCAACTTATTCAAGGTGATCTTCGCCCTATAACCATTTAAGCTTCTGTCAAGGAATAACAACGTGCCTCACAGATTTCACGTACGATTTTATTCTTTTTTCACTGCTTTTGGACTGTCATAGCTGAAACTCCTCTCTAACGTGCCAAACATCTTATGGATCGAATTGGATCTTTTCTAATTGACCTCTTTAGCTCTAAGTTGAAATGATGATCCCTCTTCCTGTTGGGACTTACTGATCCAGTTTTCCTCTCTACTGTTCCGTCTTTTAAAAACTAATTCACTGTTCACTGTTGATGGTTCTTGAATGGACTTAATAAATGATGGTAATAATACTGAAGGCCAGAATGATGTTTTTTTTCTCTCACCATTGCTCATTTGGGAAGACAGTGGGGCTGACACAAAACGATTTTAACCTGTTCTCTTTCTAGCTGAATAACTCAAAGACGTTTTCAGTGATTCTTATGGCAAATGGTGTCAAGACGACTAAACGTCTTATCTGAATATCTGGAAAAAGGAAACTTAATTAGTTTAGTGTTTTTAGTTATTAAACATTTTGTGGAGCTGGACAATTATGCTGTTACACGAGTTGAGCAATTTTTTCTTACACCTGATATATTATCATATATATATATATATATATATATATATATTGTGTTTGTTGGGGGAAATCGTTCATGTGTTTTTCGCAAGTAAACGTGGCTTGACTAGGCGAATAATGCCAATCGGTAGGCATCATTCAAATTTAGTCATACAGTTAAATTATTCATAATCAGAGTATTAATACTCGCTATATTTTTTGTTTATCCCTCGTAGAACTATGCGTAATACTTTTACGTTTTCTGAATGTTTAGATGAAGGACTATCATGAAAAGCGAATCAAGTAATGGCTATCGTCGTAGAAAATGGAAATAAGTAAATTGAGTTTATATTCTACCCACGTCTATTGCTTTCCTTTCGTACTCAGGTCAGGTCCAGGGGTAGTCCGTCGTTGTCGACAATGTGCGTCTCCACTTCCTCATCGTAGGTTTGAAGTTTATTTTATTGGAATGTTTTATCCTCGTTGTCGTTCATAACTCCTCATATGACTTCTCAGCCGAAATTCGGAGACAGCATTTTCCACAAACTGAGTATATATTGCCGTCTTCAAAATGGCGAGCAAATAGAGAAATCTGCAGTGAAAAAGAGATTACAGCGCTGGATTGCATAATGCGCCGACCATCAGCAAAACTATCGTGATCTGAACTGATGAGCTTCAGCTCCAGCAGCGCGGAAATCCAAGATAACGAGAAGCTGTTCGGGTTACAGCCTCTTGTAAGACATTATATACCGGTTAGTGTCTGTCCTCGCGTAAATGAAGCACAGATTTGTCTCCCATGTTTTACTCCCGAAGCCTTTCCCATAATCGGGTATCGTTACAAAAAATTGATTGATTGATTCTTTTTTTACGGCTTATCAACTCATTGCGGCTTACTTAAAGCCAGAACATATAGTTAGATATATATTTTATTTTTTTTAGATAATAATGGTTTAATGATAAATGTCTTGCTATTTAATCCAGAAGTTGGGCAGAAGAGGCAGAGTCATACTTTTCCCAACGGTATTTGCTCGTAAGTGAATATGACGAACTCGACTGGAATTGGAACTCAGCTCTCCTAAAACTATCTTTTTATATATTGTTTCTCCACACACACACACACACACACACACACACACACACACACACACACACACATATATATATATATATATATATATAATGTGGAATACATACACTGCAATGGCTTGATAAGCCGTAGAAAAGAAACACACATATAAGAACACACACACAGACACACACATACATATATAATGTTTTGTGTGGCGTGAAGAAAAATATACATATTTTTATATATCAAGAACAATTTTCGTGTGATGCATTTCATCGTTTAGACTGATGAAGTCCTAAAGGACGAAACTTGTCACATGAATCATATATATATATATATATATATATATATATATATATATATATATGTAATGTGTGTATATATATATATATATATATATATATATATATATATATATATTAGAAAATCTATGACTAAGAAGAAATTTTGTTTCAGAATGAATGATGATCGGATGCCGAAAATCCTAATGTAAACCAAACTTTTTATGGTAATGTAGGCTGTCCTCGGTTACGCTTCAAGGACAAACTCAAATACAATTTAATTACTGCAAGCATCGCTATAAAGGAGTTCGAACTTTCGGTTGAAAACCGAGCAAACTGAAGAGATACCTACTACCGAGGCATAACTAACTTTGAAAAGAAATGTTTCAACCAACTGAGAGAATTAAGAATTAACACTAAATCTCGGATTAATACATCGGCCCATATGACGGTCAACCCATCATTATGCCCTTCGTTTGGATTTGTTTGCAAATCTTGTGTAGGATTGTTCTCTCATACGAAACATAAACATAAAAACTGAACTGAAAGACACTCATACGTCGAAAACGACGGGAGAGTCCATTATATATATATATATATATATATATATATATATATATATATATATATTATCACCTTCCTGGAAATCTCTGCGATCAGTGCTGGCTACCGTTAATGATCATCATGCCATACGTCCAGTGCTGTATTGTTATTCTATGGCCATTCATATGAAATTATTGCATGACTGAATGTTTTTTTCTATAACTTCTATGCAGTCATTTATGAGATAGATAGATAGATAGATAGATAGATAGATAGATAGATAGATAGATAGATAAGGAATCGACTAGGATAGATAGATAATGAATCGATTAGGATAGATAGATAGATAGATAGATAGATAGATAGATAGATAGATAGATAGATAGATAGATAGATAGATAGATAGATAAATCTTCTTAGAATCAACGAAAAGAGTTGTTAACTCATGTAATGTCGGTCTACCTATATAGCTGTGAATGCTAATCTGTCTCATTCCATATGCAGAAGAGACGTCAGACAACAGAAATGTGATTCTATAGAAGGATGCTAAAAAATATCTTCGACGGAATATGTGTGCAATGATGAAGATTAAAAGAAATGAAAGCAAATAACGAACAAGGACACTTATACGTAAAATCAAAGAGACTGTTGAAATTTCTAAAGCGCATAATGAGAAAAGAGGGCTTGGAAAATCTGACACTCAAAAGACATATTCAAAAGCAAGCGGGGCAGAAGAAAGCAGCACATAACCTACATAAGCAACTTGTGTAAATTGTTGGTAGAACAACAGGGATTAGGATAGATAAGAAAAGACGAAATTTATCAGATTTACAGAAGACAGGAAATTTTGGCGGGCCATGATCGTCAGCATTCTGAATGGACAGAAAACATAGAAGAAGATGTATTCGTGTACAAAAATGCACACAAAATCATTATTTACGTTTTTGTGTGCATTTTTGTGCTTCTATATACCCGTCTTTCTGTGTACTCGCTTGTAGTTTTATGCATACATTGTTATTGTAAGCACACATTTTTCTATTTAGATACATTTGTCGCACAGGCCAACGATAATTTAGTTACGAAAGAATGAACAAATTCCGTTTATGTTTAAAAGAAAATGGAAGGAAAAAGAACGCCCAGTTTACTGGCTGTATACCTGATTTACATAAACATCGCTGTATATTCCCTTTTTTCTTTTCTCTACACTTTATACATCACGCCTTTTCAAAGTAAATTCTCCGTGCCTTACAATATGCTTTTGAATTTGAAATTGCTTTTGTATTTCCAACCCTTCACTTTTGCCCCATTGAAAGCCAATTGTTTCCATTGAATATCAATGTGTTTGCTCTAAATTCCCAAAGCTTTTTTCTTTTCTTTCGAAGGTTTGTATTTTGTTCATTACCATTATTATTATCTTTATTTTTATTTTTCATCCCCAAATATCTATTCGCCTTCATTATCTGTTTTCCTCAATCTTATCGTTTTTTTTCTGTTTATTTCCATTTAATTTTTATTGATATCCTCTTTTCTAATATTCTTGTTTAGACATTATTTTCATCTTTATCATTCTATTCGTATTTTCTTATTCCTTTTTCTGTTTTTCCGCTTACTATGTAGTCTATCTGTTTATCTTAACTTTTCTTTATCCAACCTTTCCTTTCTTTCTTTATCTAACCTTTCCTTTCTTCCTTTCTCCAACCTTTCCTTTCTTCCTTTCTCCAACCTTTCCTTTCTTTTTTTATCCAACCTCTCCTTTCTTTCTTAATCCGACCTTCCCTATCTTTCTTTATCCAACCTTTCCTTTCTTTCTTTATCCAACCATTCCTTTCTTTCTTTATCCAACCTTTCCTTTCTTTCTTTATCCAACCTTTCCTTTCTTTCTTTATCCAACCTTTCCTTTCTTTCTTTATCCAACCTTTCCTTTCTTTTATCTTTCCTTTCTTTTCTTAATCTTTCCTTTCCTTTTTTCTTTATCCAACCTTTCCTTTCTTTCTTAATTTCCCTATTTCTTTATCCAACCTTTCCTTTCTTTCTTAATCCAACCATTCCTTTCCTTTATTCTTTTTTTTTATCCAACCTTTCCTTTCTTTCTTTATCCAACCTTTCCTTTCTTTCTTTATCCAACCTTTCCTTTCTTTCTTAATCCAACCTTTCCTTTCTTTCTTTATCCAAACTTTCCTTTCTTTCTTTATCCAACCTTTACGTTCTTTCTTTTCCCTATAACTCCTTTTTATTATTTTCTTTCTTTACTTTTCGACTTTTATAAATTTTTCTTTACATCTTCTTTAACGATTTACTTATATATGAAATTATTTCTTAGCAATAAGTTTTCTTACATTTAGTTCAGTTCTCTTTATAACTTCCCAGTTTTCCTTTTATTTACATTTTTCGATTCTTACATTTTACTCTTGTTTTTTTTTTTCTCTTTATATTTTTCATTTCCTTTTCTTTCACGAAATATTTAACCCCTATTTTCTTTATTTTCTTCTCTGCCTTTCTTTTTGTTGTCGTATGTTTCATAAAATCTTTCTCGACTTCTTTCGTTCCCTCTATCTTTTTTCTTTCTTTTTTTCTCTCTCTTTCCAATTATATTATTTCAAATTTTTAATGTCAATCTTACTATACTTGTGCTTTTGTAACTTATTCAAAATGTTTTCACATCAGCTTTAAAATTCTTCGTTTTTTTTTTTCAATATTGCACCTTTCACCACTTTTTTCCTTTTTTGTTCCTCCTTTTCATTAACGTCTCTTTTTTCTTTATTTTCTTTCTTTCTCTTTTCTTTTCTTTCTTTCTCCTTTTCTTTTCTTTCTTCCTCTTTTTCTTTTCTTTCTTCTTCCAATTTTCGTTCTTCGTCTTTTTCTTTTCTTTTTTCCCGCTATTTTAGATTCTTTCTTCATTTCTTTATCTTTTAAAATATATTCGTTCTTTATTTATTCACTCCCCGAGTCTCTCTTTCATTCATTATTTCTTCCATTTTCGTCTATTCGTTTTCATTTTTACTTTGTTTTCATTCCAGTATTCTGTCCCCGTTTGTATCTTCCAACCTTCTTTCCTCTTTCTTTCTTTTTATACTTTCTTTTCTTTCTTTCTTTCTTTTTATTCTTTTTTCTTTGTACCTTTCTTTCTAAGAATCCAAATGCCTTTATCTCTTATTTCTCCTCTTCATTCTCTCCTTATTTCATTTATTGGTTCTTTCTTCTTTTATACGATTTCAGTTACTGATGTGTTATCTAATCTCCTCTTCTTTCTTCCTTTCTTTTTCGTTTCTCATTTTCATTTTGTCTTTCTCTTCATTCCAACTTCTTATCCGAATTTTTGTCTACTTCCTTCCGTTCTTTCTACCTTCCTTGGTTCCTTTCTTCCAATCTTCCTTTCTTCTTTCCTTCCTTCCAATCTTACTTCCTTCATTACTTACTTTTTTTTTCTCTGAGTCTTTCCTTTATTTTTTTTTAATTTCCTTTTTTCTGCCATTTTCTTCAAATCTTGGTAAATTTTTGCATAAAATTTCTTTCTTTCTTTCTTTCTTTAACGTATCCACTCTTTCTTTATGATATCCATCCTTGCATTAATTTCTTTTTTTTCTTTTTCTTCTTTCTTTTTTTCATGCACTTTCTTTTTTTTTCTTTCTTTCTTTCTTTCTTTCTTTGACGTATCCACCCTTTCATGATTTCATTGCTTTTTCTTCTTTCTATTTTCCTGCACTTTCTTTCTTTCTCTCTTTTTTGTTTGTTTGTCTCTTTGATTGTTTGCTTGTTTCTTTCTTTCTTTCTTTCTTTCTTTCTTTCTTTCTTTCTTTCGTTGACGTATCCAACCTTTCATGATTTCATTTCTTCTTCTTTGCTTTTCTTCTTTCTATTTTCATGCACTTTCTTTCTTTCTTTCTTTCTTTCTTTCTTTTATCGATTCTTCTCTTATATATTTTCCTCTTCTTTCTTTTTTCTTCCTTTGTCTCTAAACCTTCTTTTTATCCCCCCTCTCCCTATCTACCTCCTTCCCTCCCCTTCCTTATCCTCCACCATGTGCTTTCCTCCATCTTCCTCCTCATCCTCCTAGTAATTCCCACTTTCCTACCCTTTCATCCATCTTAGATGCTGTTGTCTTGTTATTGTTTTTGTTGTTTTTGCATCGATAATCATTTGCACACTTTTCATTGTTAACAGAAATGTCCAAGAAACGTGCCAATTTCTATTTTTCCATCCAATGTTATCATGGAAGCTTATTACATTATTTATTTTCTGAGACTCTCAAGCATTCACCCAAAATGAATCACGGGAATTCAAATCATAGATCTGAATATGCAATGTATTATATATATATATATATATATATATATATATATATATATATATATATATATATATATATATATATATATATATGTATAGAGATAGAGAGAGGGGAAAGAGAGATGTAAATGGATGAGCATATTCTGAAAAGATTTATATTGATGGCTCCGCTCTATAATTATATGCGTATATATAAGCATACATGCATGATATATAAATATTATATACACAAGGAGTGCTGAAGAGTTCACGGTTAGAACACTTACCAAAATCCGACCAAAAGTCTAAACATCAGATTACAAGAGTTTTTCGTATTTGTTTATATATGTATGAATATAAACATATTTAAGTACATTAATGAGCATATATATATATATATATATATGTGTGTGTGTGTGTGTGTGTGTGTGTGTGTGTGTGTGTGTGTGTGTGTGAATTACAATTAATGAGATCCAAACGATTTACCTCATACAGATGATCATTTCGTCGATGGGAAAGTAGTTTTCCCCTAAACTTATCAATGCAAATACATTTTCTTTTAGTAAATGTATTTGTATTGATAAGTCCAGGGAAAAACTAATTTCCCATAATCATCTGCATGAGGTAAATCGTTTGGATCTCATTCATTGTAATTAGGTTATATGGTCTATAATAAAAGTTATATTCAGCTCACTTTTGTGGATCAGTTTTAATATTTTGCATTAATAGGGTCTACTTGAATTACTTACCCACGGATTTTTTTAACCTATATATATATATATATATATATATATATATATATATATATATATATATCAGGTCATCCTATAAGTTCTGTCGAATTTTAACTTTTGTTAAAATGAACGAAATTTAAAGAATATTTTATAATGTCTAATGGAGTTGAACATTATTTTTATGTTTAGATGCATTTAAACTGATCAAATTTGATTTCAGAGAACAATAAAATTAAATTTCGTTTGATTAAAACCCTGCTAACATGGAAGTACCCAAGAATCATTTGAGGCACATAATGCTTTATGAGTTCAAGAAAGGAAACTCAGCAGCCGAAGCGGCTAGAAACATCCACTCAGTTTATGGAGAGGAATGTGTGTATGAAAGAACTTGCAGAAGATGGTTTGCAAAATTCAGAGGTGGAGATTTCACACTTGAAGATGAAGATCGAACCGGACGTCCAGTTGAGTTTGATGAAAAGCTTCTTGAAGCAGCCCTTGAAGAAAATCCTGCTTTATCAGTTGAGGAATTGGCAGTGGTTCTCAGTCTTCGATCTTTTGTGACGTGATTCTTGCTATGTGGGGTCGCGTATTGTCCTGATGAAACATCACCTCTTTTCGATTCACTAGAGCAGGTCTTTTTTTCCTCAAATCTTGGTTCAAACACTCTAATTGCTGACAGTATATTTGAGCATTAATTGTTGCATTAGGTGGTAAGAATTCAAAGTGGATTATTCCTTGGCGATCCCACCAGATTGAAAGAAGAACCTTTTGCCGATGAAGTTCCCTTCTCGGCTGTGGCTGGGGTCCCTCCCCTTTACCAATCCACTGTCTACAACGCTTAACATTTCGATAAAAGATCCATTTTTCGTCGCCAGTCACAAGTCTATCCAAAAAAGGTGAAACAAGTTGGCGAGAATGGAGAGAAGAGCAAATGTCAACTCGGGATTTAAGGTTGTTTTCAAACAATTCATGAGGCACCCATTTTCCAAGTTTAGGAATTTTTCCAAGTTGTTGAAGATGACGATGAACAGTTGTATGGTTTGAACTGAGATCGTAAGTTCAAAATGCAGTTCTATGACGTCATACCACGCGATAGACCGAAGTATTACAACAGAACCAATGTCTAGATGCAATGTAATGTGTTGCAACTAGTTTGAAATGTAATTTTGTTGAGTGTCGGTTGCTTCGTTATATTGTAGATGGCCTCCAATATGTGAAAGTTCTTTTTACTGTGTGTATGTGTGAGAATTATTGTTATCTCTCTAATATTATGTACATGGCTATGTTTTTCTAAGAAATGTTGTTTAATAGAACTAAGATCAGAAAGGTGACAGGTAAGTCTACGGGAAAGTGTGGTTGTAGTAAAACCAATATATTAGCATCATTACAATCCGAATAGTCATGTAAATTAATACACTACATTGGTTTTTTGTAGAGGTTTTATTTGTGTGGTTGTAGGGCTATTATATATATATATATATATATATATATATATATATATGTGTGTGTTACTTCAAAGTTTACTATAGTGGACACTTATTTGAAATAGATGACCCAGTACTGTTAATTAGTATGTATTGCGTATATCGACCTGCACATTCGAGAAAACTTAATAAAGAAAATATATCCTGTAACAGGGATCGAACCTGCGTTCCCGCTCGGCCACGATGAACTTCACAATAGGCAAGGCGCTTCTTACCCTATTTTAAGTAAGTCATATTCCCTTCACTCAGTTTTTTTTTTTTTTTTTCGAGCGTTCATATCGGCTCGTATCCCAAAACGTAAGCAAACCAATTTCTAAAGAATTTATTGAAATAATTTTAATCTGACATTTTTATTACTTCAAACGACATTTGTGATTATTATTGGGGTAATAAAAATGTCGGATTCAAAATAAATCTATTAATTCTTTAGAAATTGGTTTGTCTCCATTTCTTTACCAGCTTATATGGTACAGATGCTTGCCAAGATAAAGACACCGTAAGGACAGCAGTACCGCCTGCATACGGATAGAAAATGAGTTCGTAAGATATATAAAGATAGAAAGAGATGTAAGACAAGGATGCGTCTTCTCGCCGGACTTATTCAACCTATACAGTAAAGCGATTCTGAGAGAATTAGAACTCCTACCAGGATTCATTATTAATAGCCACAAACTCAACAACATAAGATATGCAGATGACACAGATAGGAAACTACAATAACTCCTAAAGAATGTGGTGAAGTTAAGGGAAGTGAGAAGAAAGGATTAAACATCATTTGCAAGAAAGCATAATGTATGGTTGTTAGTAAAATGATTAGCCCAAAATGCGAATTTCAAATCGGAGGTACAAAAAAAAGTACAAAAATTTAAATACCTAGGAAATGTTTTAGCAGAGGACAATGCATACTGAAATCCGAAGGCGCATTGGGATAGACAAAAAGATGCCTTCAAAAACCTATGCAGAGTATTAAGAGACAGGAAAACTTCGTTAGAAACAAAGAAAAGAGTACTGAACTGTTACGTGATATTAGCCCTTCCAGTGAATCCCGGACAACAAGAGAAATGTGGCTCTGCAGAAGAATACTGAGGATACCATGGACGAAACATGTGAGCAATGAAAAGTTTTAAAGAAAATGGAAACAAAAAGGAAACTTATACTTAAAATCAGAAAAAGACAGTTGCAATTTCTAAGGCACATAGTGAGGAAAGAGGGCTTCGAAAATCTTATACTCACATGACAGATTGAAGGCAAGAAGTAATGAAAATCTTGGTAATCTGTATGGATAATCCCAAGGAGGATGAAATCCGGAGAGCGCAATGTTAAATCAGAGCGATTAATTTAACTTAAAGAAAACAGACAACTTTAAAGGTCCATGGTTATAATTTATTTCCCCAAGGAGTTTCTTTTTCCCTGGTTCATCAGACCTCATTTCCAAGGATAAAAAAATAAATTTAAATTTACATGTAATTTTTTACACATTTGAGGGGTAGTATTAAGTTAATGTAAGGTGATATAGAGGGTGATGAGAGATAGTGTGACAGACATAGTCGAAATTAGAGAGGTAAGTGAGAGATAGGAATGCTTTTAAATTTATTTGTTTTTATTATATATATATCCAGGTAAGATGAGAACGAATAGAGTACAATTCCAACGTCCGTAACATTAAAAGAGACCTCAACACAAAGTAGAGCAATTGTATTTATTTTAGGATATTACACCTAAAACATGTTAAAATCGCTACACAATTGAAGTCGTGTTTCGATGCGTATCAATGCATCTCGTCAGGGGATTGTAAATTACTGGCGAGTGAACGATTTATTTAGATTTAAAAGCAAAATACAACCTTTTTTTCTGAAAAAAAGAAAAAAGTAGGGGTTCATATGGTTTGTGGGCTTTACTCTAATCAACCAATCAAATATAACCTACGTTAATTTTAAACTAAGTGAA